TAAAGTTACCAATATGGGAGTATATCATTTGGATATTGTTCTGATTTTATTACTATCTCATCGATTTGCTTGTGGAGGTACTACTGTGGCTCATTATTTGACTTGCAAGGTGAGGGGTAATGACCTTAAGGCACTCAAATGTAGGTATTGAATCAAACTGACATAAATAGATGGGATAAGGTGTGAGTTATCAAAGTTGTCTGAATACGCGAAACTGTGTTATATGGCCATCTAAATATATATTTCCCCCACCCAACTGCCGCACGCATTTTGTTGTCAAACATTTAATGATTGGCTAGTTAGTGTTAATTAATATCTACTTGGAACGGTAGTTTTCAAAAAATATTAAATATATTAAATATTTTAATATACTAAAATAGAGTAAATTCCATCAACATGGAGACTGATTTGCAGGATACGGATGCTAGTTGAGGTAAATTCGGCCTTATGTTGGCAGAATTAATCGAAGATGGAAATTTGTCCTCCCACTGTCTGAATTTCACGACATAAATGGAAAGTCGTCCTACTGAAAATTAAAGAAGTAGTTTTTCATAATAAGTCGACGTAATTTAGAGCCCCTAAAGTCAGTCCTCCCTCTAAATATATTTGCGGTCTGCAGCTTTAAAAATAAGACAAATTCAAGAGCCACCTCAGCGTAGACATACGGAACTGAGAAGACTACGGCTACGCATAAAAAGCTGTAAACCGGGAACACGAAGCGGATTGCCAATGTGAAATATATAGGGTTTACGACGCGCTAATAAATAATGAGAAAATTCTGGATTAGTGTGTTTTCTTAAGCAAAGGGCGACTCATTACGCGCATTTGTGGCAGTCCTCAAAAACCGTTTGGAAATTTCGTATTTTCGGATATAGTAATTACCCCAGATACGCATTGGAAATTACGAGCAAACTGGGCTGATCTAACAGTTAAGTATATGACTTGAAAAAAAAACAAGTGAAATCTGAAGAGCCTTTTGCGAACATACGTAAGCTTTCAAAAGGCATATGCTTCATAGTGTCCAGTGTAGTTTATATTATTTGGTGAGAGTAATGGCAAAACCTTAGAAAACCCTATTAACTACACACCAGTACGTCATATACGGCTGTACTCGCATGCATAAAATTGTCAGAGTTAAAAGACTATTGACAAACAGTGAGCAGCATTGATTTTACAAATAACACTTGTCAGGTGTTTGGTGGAGTTTGTACAATC